CTGAATTTCCCTTCTGGGATAAATAAAGTATTTTTCATTTCATATATGCTAGCCATAGCAAGCATAAATAAGCCATAGCTAGCCATAGCTAGCATAAATGTATTAATCTAGTATATAGTTAGCTGATAAGTTAAATGCTAAATAAGCCGTAGCTAGCATATAAAAATGCTACCTACCTCAAATGTGATGCTGTGATATGATACAATTTCATTACATTACCCTCAATTCCCAGTTAGTTCCCTTAAATTCCCATTAATTCCCATAAATTCCATTAATTCCCATTATTCCCATGTAAAGTTTCCAATATGTAATATTTCCAAAATTCCCCAGCTTAACTTCCCATGTAAATTTACCAGAAATGTACTGGAAATTTACCGGGAATGTTCCGTCCCTTTGCAACCCTAGGTCTGACACCTCAGAACTCTGATCTTAGCATCACGGAGTCAGTACTGGATTACATCATGAGACAAACTACATCCAGAGAGAAGCTGTGGAAAGTTCCCCGAGATGCTGAACGACCAACCTGACAAACACTTTGAAAAACAAGTGCACCGAGGAGTACTGGGCGGTCTTGCCAAGTATTGATTTGAGGTGTTTTTCTGGTTGCTGCACTTTGTATGATGTTGATTGATAAATAAAATGATTCACAGGATAATTTTTGGAAGCATTCTCAGTTTGCTTTTAGTGCCTTAAAACTCTGTTCAGTACTGTGCATTAGAATAAAATGCTTGATTAGAAATTCTGGTGGGATTGTGACCAGCAGGGCTGCCAAGACTCGACTCTCTGCTTCTAATTCGACACTTAGTTATAAAAGCACCTATAAATATTCACATTGTGTGACTGATTTTTTTTTTTTTTGGCATTACTTAGTGCAGCTACCATTAAAAACAAAAAATAATAACTTGTCCCTTTTGCATATTTTTTTTCTCCTTAAAAGAAAATGGTTTCCATGGAGTTTCTCACCTGTAAATGTTTTCCAAGTAGAGGTTTATTTAAGTTTTTTTCTTTTGCTGCAAGCACAGATGGCAGATAAAGAAGAATCTAACTTTATGGACTAGGGGTGTAATGGTACACACAAGTCATGGTTCGGTATGTACCTCGGTATGGGGGTCACGGTTCGGTACGGGTTCGGTACAATGGGAAAAAAGCAACAAAAAGTCAGACATGTAAAACTAGCTTTTTTCATTTATTTTGAAAAGACTGCAAAACTAAAAACCAACTCCTGTTATAAAAAGTTAAAAATAAATAGAATAAAACATAAAACAAATGCATTAGGGTTCTAATAGCATTCATTCATTCTGTTCGTATAGGAAAAGAAAAAACACTTTCTTTTAGGTAACAGGTATATACTGAGACAGTCAGGTAGCACTTGCCAACTGGCAACTTTGGTAACATTATAAGAATGTTGTATTGCACAGTTAAATGTAAACAATGAAATAGTCTCACAATAGCAATATTTCCATACTGACAGAAGTCAAACAAAAAAAATCAAACAGTTCCGAAACTGAAAATCTACAAAAATAAGTAGTGTTTCAATTACTCCAGCCAAGGGCTAATACAAATATATACAGAACTGAATCGCATCATCAGGTGTGAAAATACAAAATGAATACACTACAAAATATAAAAAAAAATAAAATCTGTGCCTTTAGGAGCATCACATGTGCAATTAACTGAGTGTGTGAGGTCAACCATGGACCGCTTTAGAAGGTAATACTAAAGTGTCATTCAATTTTGAGGTTTTTCTTCAAAAAAAAATTAGTTTGTCTACGTTGTCTGAAGTGAGCAAACCCTCTCGCTGGGGACTGAGGTGGCAGGTACAGCCAGGTAACACTTTGCTAACATGGCAAGGTGAGGATAAAGAGACTCATGAGCCTTCCACCAGGCAAGCGGGCTGGAATCAACTGAGATGCAGTCCTTTGCCATGTAGGCATACACTTCATCCTTTGACTGCTGCATCCAATCTGGCTGGCTCCTCTGCTCTGTTCTAAAGAGGGGGCTAAAAAGTTCTGCCATGGCTGACTTCTTTGGTGGAGGGGAAGATGCTGCCTCAAACTGTGCTGTCATTGGAAATGAAGTCGCCTCTGATGAAGTTGATGAACTGGCCTCTGTAGTCTCTCTGGTCGCGTCCTGCAGTAAAAAATGGGGTAAAAAAAGTAATAATACGTGAGTTCAGAGTTCAACAATTCAAGTTAAGACATGAACTTTTAAAAATATGAAAAAATCATTCTTAGTGTAAAATGCATACATACCTGTTCAGCTCTGCTCAGGACCTCCGTGATGATGAGGTCTTCATAGACTTTTGTTTTTGGCAGGCAGGCTCCAGGTGGTGAAGTGTCTTGAACCTTGGATCCAAGGCAGTGCACTTGTGAAGGAGGTCCTGAAGCCCAGGGTCAGAATATCGTTGTTGCAGATTTTCTCTGATGGCATGCTTGATTTCCCTGATAGTAGGAGTGTCTTCATCATTTTGTTCCATAGATTTCAAGATCATTGTTTTTAGTGGTAAGATCATGGAAACTGATGGTGCTGTTTCAGTGCTCAGTATTGTGGTGATTGTCTTCAGAGGTTTCATGATCTCAACACGCTCTCTGCAACGCTCACCTCCTGATCAGTCAGATTCTGCGCTAAAATATGTGCAGCCACTGTGCTCCGATGGAAAAAAGAAACGGGTCTTCGGATTTTTCCCAGGAGTCGAGACACCTGGTTGACTGCCATAGCTTTCTGTGATGCTAAGTTTAAAGTATGGGCAAAGCATGCAATTTGTGGACCCAGTCCTGCTTCATTGACTGCATTAACAATGTTTTTTGCATTGTCTGTGGTTACTGCAATGGTTCTGGGCTTTTCAAGTTTCCACTCTGTTACTGCCTCTTGTAGCTTCTCAGTCAGGTGAGTGCTGGTGTGTTGTTCATATACTGGGTGTGTTGATAAAACTGGGCTTTTCATTTCCCACTCAGATGTGATGAAGTGGGCAGTAATGGTGAGGTAACTTTCAGTGGAACGGGAGGTCCACCCATCAGTTGTGAGTGCAACAGTTTGTGCAGCAGACAGCTCATACTCTACCTCTGCTCGTGCACGCTTGTAAATGGTAGGGACCACAGACTGGCTGATGTGCGCACGGGATGGGACATTGTAGCGTGGCTCAAGCACTTTGAGTAAATACTTGAAGCCGGGCTCCTCTACTACAGCATATGGACGCATAGATGTTGATATGTATATGCCAATTGCTTCTGTGATTTTGCTGGCCCTGTCTGTTTTCATGTCAAGAGGCTGCTTAAAAACAGCGGGGATCAGTTGTTGCACTCGCGTCTTTTTCCTTGCACCGGTGATTGGCAGGTCGGGGTGATGCCGTCTTATATGCGTTAGCATGTTTGATGTATTGCCAGAAGCATACCGCACCTCAGTGAAACAACACAGACAGACGATCTTTGTCCGGTCTACCACACGCGTGCCATCTCCGTTATACTGCACTGGGAAACCGAAGTGCTCCCATACGCGTGATCTAAATGAAGCTGGTGGCTCTTCTAACTCCACACTCGCCATTTTTCTTCTGCTGCGCCTGCTTATCCCGTAATGTTGGTTGCTGGCAGCTTTCAGGCTCATTACCGCCACCTGGATTGATGTGTAGCCTAAGCTTTTTAAAATAATCAGACGTATTCGTTGTGTGACTGCCTGCACCGAACCGTGACGGCCGAACCATGACGGGACGGGACAAATACAAATACAAATACCGTTACACCCCTTTATGGACTATTCATTGATTTATGGACAACTTATCTTAATTGCACTTAAGGTTTCTCTGAATTCAATGCATCTCTTGTAGCCTGAATATAAAAAAAAGCTCTACCCAAAATGTCTTATTTGCTAAACGTCTGCATGCCAGTAGACAACACAATTTACCGCTATTTTGTAAAATGTCTACTAGTGAGGTGGCTGTGCACACAGAAGCTTCTAGTCTCCACTCAGGTACTGTAGTTCAGCAGATCAGACAAGTGTGTGAACAAAAATAGATTTACCAAAATAAATACCAAATTACTGTATCTACATGGGCTGTTTTCTATCATCAAAGCACATCACATAAATGTCAATATTGCAGCCAGTCATATTTATTTAACTGTGGAAAGATATAATTATGATTAATATTTAATTAATTGTGCAGCCCAAAGCTAACTATAAACCATTTAGCAATTACAGCAAAGACAGATAAATAGCAGCAGGTAAACTCCGCTGTTCATGCTGCTGCACTGAAGAGAGCCATTGTAAAGTGGAGGAAAATGGGTGACCTATCCCTTTAAGGCAACACATTAGGTCTTGCATAAAACATGGGGACAAGGCTGACCTACATGCTGCAGAAACAAAATATGAACTTAAAAAAATATAATAAAAAAAAAAAATAACAGTTTGGCCCAGTTATTATTTTACCTCCTCATGGCTTTAAGACATTATTGACCCATATGAGGCACGCTTCATTTCTGAATGAACAACCTGTGATCTGATGCTAATGTGGTGGTAATAGAAGAGAAAGCATGAGGAATCTGCAGCTGCTCAGGTTTCTTTATGGCCTATCTGCTTAATGAGAGAGTACGCTGTGAGAAAGTGGGGGACTCAGTGGAGAATAAATGAGTCAGACTGAAACCCACGGTGACTTAAGTATATTGTGTACACCCAACTGCATTGCTATTGCTTAGCAACAAACTAATCACCCCCTCAAACAATCAGAAATTTGTTCCCCCTGCATTAACGTCCCCCGAGGAAAACAACACCTTGAAAGAACAAGTGTGGATAATTACACAGCAGCAATATAAACATGTTGTTGCGTCAGAGGTGTTTTTCTTCGACTCACCTTTGAGTTGTCTGTTCATCCATGACCAGAGAGATGTAGCCCTCGATCAGGGAGAAGGAGAAAAAGCGGATGTGGCTGGAGTCTTCGCCGGATGCTCCAGGCTCTTTTGGCCTGAGAAAAAAGAAACACAACACAGTTTTTGATTTTAGAGTTTTTCACCAATGTCCAGTCAAGTTTCAGATGTTTTCATTTTATAAAGGTAGTTTTTGGTGGCTGATAACAAATACAAAACTGTATTCTGTAGCAGCAAAGAACAGATTATCTCTATATATTTCATGACACAGTTGTTTTGTTTGTTTTTTTACCAGGGGGCATAAAAAAACTGAACAGTAAAGTCTACAGCTTGCAGCTCATTCAGAAAGCCAGCGTGTCCCTGCTAATGAACAAGAAACACAAAAAACAGCTGAGTGATGGAGATGTCATCAGTAATGCTGCACGTATAGATTTTACATTAACAATGGCCATTTTCTTGGGTGTCCCAGTCAGCCATGTCGGTGAAAAAATACCCAGTGCCAAAGCCCTCGATCTGACTCATCGAAGGGGCAAGAAGCCGTTGTTAATTCCTCAGCTGTAAAGGCAAACATTTTGTTTTTTACTACAGCAACTAATGTTGCTGTAGCAAATACTGTACAGAACATGCTCCCAAAAACACATGCAGAAATGCACATTAATAGATTGTTTCTTGCTGTCGTCTCAATATCTTAAAAGGTTGCTCCTACTTTTTAGTATTCAAAAATGGTTCATAAGGATGATGACGACAACACTGACATTGCATCGACGTCCATATTTGAGTAAACGCCTTGTATTTTTTATTTTTTTTCCCAAAGGCTTCACTTCAATGCAACAAATGTTTTTCTTCCCGATCACTATGTAACTCTTGTGTCATGATGTCATCAGATTTTTGGCTTCGGTTTCTGGTCGACAGCTGTGGAAAAAGATGCCTCACCTGCGCCAGAATTAGCTTGATTAGGTTTAGCTTTAAAAGCATGGGAGTACTACAGTTTATCACAAAACATACCTCACATGATACATGAGTGCCAGTAGAGACAACACAGTGACACTATTCTTAAAGATGCAGCCCCAGAAAAGGTAAAGAAAGTTTTTGCTATTGATTCATATATAGAGCTGGTAGCTGCTAAATACATTAATAAAACAACAACAACAAAACTACTACACTAACTTCTTGAGGTGTGGCAAAGCTCTTCCAGAGCGAGTAGAATTACTATTTAACAGTTTTTACAGGTTCCCCATGATGAGTAAACTGACCTTCATGTGTAGAAATAGTGGACACTTCTTTAAAGAGGCATTCTAGAGAACCTCTACACTTTATTAGAGTAATATAAAAAGATGATGTCCTCCAGTCTTTAGTTTTCAGCTCAGTTTTAAGTTGAATGCTGGCAACACATAAAAAGGCCTTTGTCAGTAACCGGTTTGAAAATAAAGAGACTTACCCTCCAGAGTAAAACATGACGTCCATGAGCAGGGTGGCTACAGAGGGCAGTGTGTCTGGGTCCAAACTGGTCACACAGAACATGTTGCTGGGACTAGATAAGGGGTGAATGATGGGACGGGGCACTGAAAAACAAAAAATGACAGAATACACAAGGGCTTAGAGGCATTATCAAAACTCTACATGGCAATAATGTCCCTCATTACACTTCAATTTATCAGTGTTTGAACGACTTAAACTGTCTGCTGGGTTAAAAGTGGAGCTTGAGAACTGCAGTTTTTGCAGTTTAATTAATAAATTGGAACAGACCTGTGTGCAGCTGCTCATTTTCATATGATTTCTGAAAAATAGAACTATATCAACTGGTGCTTACAGCACAAGAACTACTGAGGAATATAACGCGAACAAGTTAGCTGCTGTTTTTAGACGATCTGTGATGTTGTGATATAAAAACTGTTGTTTGCACTCGACTTTTTGCACATCTGTTTGAACAAGAGGCCACACCAACGATTTCTTTAACATTTTGCTGATTAGTTTGGCGTAGAGCCCGAGTAAACATTCAGTAAACATAGCCTAAATGCTAAATATAAGTTAAACGTAGCAGGTTCACTGAGTTCAAAGCTGTGAAAACATGCACAATTGACCATTCAACCTTGACACTGCTGTCTTATATGAATCCATCTAGCAAAAATTAGACTGAACTTCATTATATAACATCCAACATTCCAGGTTATAGCAAAGTTCAGCAGACAGTGTATATTTGGTAAAGTGGGAAAAGACTTCTACTGCAGGAAGAAAGCATAAAAAAGCCTTACTTCTAGACATAAAGACACGCTAACTTGCTTTTGTCAACACCTACCGAGTTTTGGCTTTACGAAGCCATTGGTGACTCCCAGATTGTGAGCAGCAACAGTCTCTCCATTGACCACCCGAAGCAAAGTGAATTCGGAAGACAGTGTGTGCATGACCATGGGCAGGTCTCGCTCTCGAACCTAAGGACGACGACATGGATGAGGTGAGTTGAGAGGAGATGTTAATTAAAACAGTGAAGAAATGAAAACATCTGATGGGAAATGCCGACAGCAAGTTACTTTATAATAAAATGCTGTTAATGATTTTTTTTTTTTTTACTGTATGCGGATTCATCTGCTAATGACCAGAAAAAGGGTTTGGACTGTTTATATTCAGCCAGATTTGCAAAATGTTAAAACAACTCTGCAAGTTTGAGGAAACGCAAATTGTATTATTTGCTTTTAGCACGGCTTGTACCCGAGTTTCATGTAAGTGGACCAAAAGAAACTCGTATTTCTGCTTGTGATGTATTTCTTCATGTGTCAATGCTGAAAGCTAGTTTCAAGGCCAGAGGCTGTTTACGGCCACATGCAGCTAATCGAGGGCTTTGCCTTCAGGCTTGGGTCTCTTTTTACAACCAGCACAAAGCCTGCATACAGTACAGCTGATCAACATAGCAAAGCAAGCGTATTAGTGTAGTTTCTCTCAAAAACAGATGCTGTACAACGTAAAGAAGAGAAAGAAGCAAGTGGAAACAAGTAAATTTCGATTAAAAATGAATAAATAACTGAATTAAAATAAAATGTAAATAGATCAATAAAGACAGGAAGTTTCCATGTTGCTTTAAACTGCTCTAAAGTCAATAGAAAAATTGAGTAGAATAGAGGAATTAATTGGTCAAAGTCACAAGAAAACAGGAGACGGGCTGCATTTAATCAAGTTCCTTAAAAGCCTTTTGTATTTTCTGATCCTTGCTTAACCGCATTAAGAGTGGCGCACGTAAGCATGTAGCTGTGAACACGTCACGCGTACGAGTGGAAGCTGAAGGTAAAAAGGTCAACAGAGACATTGAGATTTATCCTCAGGGAATTGTTAACATTCACAACAAAATTCAAAGATATTAGTTTTGAGGATATCTCATCTTGAAGAAGAGTAGTGACAGCAGTGGTGGAGAAAGGTTGCCAAAACCATTATGATCTTTGTGTGGGAGCAGCGAATATATTTATATATATACTTTCAATGGCAATCTAGCCTGCAGCAGAGACATTATAAAGGAAAGAGACTCGCCTCTTTAGGTAGCTTGAATAGAAATCTATGGTGGAGTTCTGTAATGCCAGAGATAGTGGTTGTGTAATGCATGTCCTGCCTTTTCCCTCGTAAAGCCAATTTGTTTGTTTTATAACAGCCAAACCGGGAAATGTCAAACCAATCATATTGTCGCACTGCAGAAGTATAGAACGTAGAAAAAAAAAGGTAAACTTTATTTTAGGGCAAAAAGCTGCTTTCATTCATTTATAAAGGGACCTGGTCTTGTTAGGCCAAAGAACATGCCTGGTGGTGTAAACAACATGGCTGCTGAGTGGTACAACTTGTCTATTAGGACTTTGCCTGGACCACAGTGTTAGAAACAGAAGAATAGACCAAAGAATAAAAAATATTGAAGTGTGTTTTTCCTCAACTTCAAAATACTAAAAAACATCTGCGCATCAAAACGTGTGACAGGTTTATCAGAACATTTCCTGCTGCTTCAGCCTGAATGACTTAAGCTGATGAAACCTGCTAAATGTACTTTAATTTAAAGTGCTATATGAATTAAATATTTAAATATAAAGAACAAGCTGGAAACATTGTTCTCCCTTTCCAGAGGTCCAGATTTATTCCATCCATCCATTATCTATACACCGCTTCATCCTCACTAGGGTCGCGAGGGGGCTGGAGTCTATCCCAGCCGACTTAGGGTGAAGGCAGGCAGGGGACACCCTGGACAGGTCGCCAGTCCATCGCAGGGCCACACTTAGAGACAGACAACCAAGCACACTCACATTCACACCTACGGACAATTTAGAATCACCAATTAACCTCAACATGTTTTTGGATGGTGTGGGAGGAAGCCGGAGAACCCGGAGAGAACCCACGCTGCACGGGGAGAACATGCAAACATGCAAACAAACAAAACTGCAAAAACAGAAACAACCATTGGAATTTCAACTTGTAAAGGTCCTTGAACTAATAATGTATAATGTGGGAAAACATTTAAAATATTTGCCAAAATTAAACAGCTCGAAGCAACCAGATTCTACCGAAAATAAAAAAAAATTCTGTGCTCTTTGATGCAACCAAAAAGCCTTGAGTGACTCAGTTGTGACCAACAGTCATGAAGCAAAAATTCAGGGAGTTTTCAGCTGAACTGCAGGATGTGTTTACACAGAGCAGAGAGGAGACAAGTACAGACACAAACTTAAAATGTAAGCAGGAAAATATCCTTATCATGCAGAGTCACCACTTTTTTTTCTAATACTGGTAACACCTTTGGGTACCTGGAAAAATTTACATATTGATTCCAGATTTTTGCATGTTTTGTAAAATAAAGAAATTTAGGTTTTCTTTTTTCCCCCCTTTCTTTCTTTCTTTCTTTCTTTTTTATTAGGATTAATGGCATTACAAAAGTGTCACACAGCACATTGCTGAGTTCTTTCTACTTCTTGTCATAGTCGTGCTTTTTCTTGGTGGCGCAGGAACTTCATATTGAAATCAAAAATGATCCCATACTGAGTAAAAACCGTCATAGGATTTGAACCCCCCCCCCAAAAAACCCCAGAAGCTGCTTCGGAGTTTAGAGGATTAAATGACAACTATATTTCAAAATATCAATAACACAGCCGACAGAAAGCTGCTTATGTTTTGCAACAACGATAAAGGCTTTTTAATTTGGTTGTCATATTCCATCAAATATAATGGAGCTGTGTAAATTGACAAGGGAATTATTGTTTTGATGCAACTCAAAATATGAAGCCTCTTTCTGTCATCTCCAATACAAAGTTGATCTCTGAAGCTGGTAAAAAAAACAACTACATTTGAGTGTAACAGAGCTGCAGTTGCTTGTTAGATTCCAGTGTGTTGCTCCTCAGACTCGCACAGGAAAGTTCTGGCTCAGCCTAAATGAGTGCATTAAACATTTGGGTCAGGCTTTACTGCTTTATGTAACCCAAAAAATCCTAACAATGAAAAAACAACCGCATATCTTAAGCTGGTCTGTCTTCCTGTCTGCTCAGAGGTTCGGTAACGCAACCCAGCGCCATGTGAGACAAGGACAGGGGAAGAAGATGGCTGGAGGGCGTGGATGACGGGGTCAGGGCAGTGTTTTTCTTTTACTTTTTTGCGTCTTTTCATCTGACACACAATTAAGAGTGTGGGAAGGAGGCAGCCAGTGTCGAGACAGGAAACAAGCCCAAGTATGATACCTTGAATTCCAGCAAGAGGCTGAGCTGCTGATCCCCTTTACGCAACAGATTATCAACGTCGACCCAGGTTTTGTTTTTTTTTCCCTCTTTCGTTTTCATAAACATGCTGGAGCTGGTCAGCAGACCTTGTTTTTCCACTAAAGCAAGGCAATAAAAAAGGACTCCCTGTGGCCAGAAAGGCTGACTGAATATTTCTCTATGAGAGAGGATTTCTTCCTAAATCAAAAAGAAGTGGAAGGTTGTGCAAGGTACAAGGTACACTATATCCAAGGTTATTGCTTTTTTATGTCAGGCGCAGTGGATGTAAACAATCGTGCTGCCAGTAGTTGCATAATAGAGAAATAATGCAACATATAAAGTATGTTGTGAAGCCGAGGACTGTAATACATAAAAGAAAAGGGTCAGGCCTTGTGAGGTCAGCATCTTCTCCTTCTCCTATAATTGCTGCCACGACACCAGCAGCACAGCTTGAATACATGTCAGGTAAAAAGCATCACAATGATGCTTCCAATGAACGTGCAATTCAACAACTTAAAGGTGGGTTAAACAGCAGCAAGTGTTAATATCATTTCCGTACTTGTCACTGTTGAAATCTCTGAGTGACTGGAGGTTAATGATACTAAAAACATATGATTTAGTAAGTATTACTTCAAATTTCAGATTTAGCTTTACAAGTTCTGGTGTAAGAATGTTAAGTCTTTTTCAGCATCAGTTTGCTGTCAAGAGCCCAGCAGTGGAAAAAAAATTGGATCCTTTACTTAAGTAAGAATATGAATTCAGTAATGTAAACATACTTGATTACAGGTCAGCATCCTGCATGAAAATTCCTACTTATATAAAAGTAAATAGCAGCAGAATATAGTATAAAGTCCTGGTTTGGTCTGCCTGAATAATATAATATTACATATGACATCATTCGATTATTAACAGTGAAGCATGAGTTTGTCAGTGGCATGTTACTGTAAAGCTGCTTCAGGTGGCGCTGGTTTAAACTACTTCATATCCAGATTTATGTACAGGGAAAGCAGACAAGTCTGAGGGTTTGTCACATGAATAACACTCTGAACTCCAAAACCTGCTCACAGGTTTGAAAGGCAAATTATCTTTGAAAAATAACCAAAATTATTCAATTTGTCAAAGCCAGAAACTGTAAAAGCAGAAAGAATTGTTGGATTTTCTGACAGTCCTAGAACTAATCCTGAATTCCGCACAGTTTTGTGGTAAAAAATAACCAAATCTATCCTTAAAAGTGTGATATTTTATCAAAATCATTTTATTCTACATGTGCCATTTCAAAATATGCCAAAAAGAAACTAATCACATAATCAAAAAAATAAAAAATAAAATTTAAAAAAAGCCTTAACATTCTGCACTCCTGGATCCAACTGTGAAGCCATTAGTGACTCAGCTGTGACGAACAGCCATGTGATAGAAATTTAGGGACTTTTCAGCTGAACTGCAGGCTGTGTTTAGTATACTGAGTCACCATTTTTTCCCCCCTCAGTACTGGTAACACCTGCAGACACTTGGAAAAATGCTGCACATGTTGATTCTAGGGTTTTTCAAATAATGTGAAATAAATAATCAAACAAATGTATGTTTTGTTTATTCTTTTTTATGATTGATGGCATTATAACTGAGTCACACTGCACAAAAAACATTTCTGAGTTCTCTCTACTTCTAGTCATGGTTGTGCTGGTTCCATGGAGGTGCAGGACTTTATATTTCAGTAAAGAAAATAAGCCCACACAAAATTAAAATAAGACAGGAGTAGAAAACAGGGTTTAGAGGATTAATGGGAGAGGAAAGAAGAACAGTTCTCTTGTCAGGGAGACATTGGATCATTGGATGGTAAATGAAATGAAACCAAGTGAGAAGTTTAGAGGAAAAGTCTATCTTTGGCGAACTTATTACTGACTGCACACTGCTTTTTGTAAGAAGCCAAAAAGACTGGAAAACACTGGTTTAATTTTGAATTATGTGTTGTACTTTAAAAGCTTGTGTAGACATTATTTCCCACTTAAATATAGTGGAGTGGATGTATAAGGCTGTATAAAAAGGAAATACTTAAGTAAAGTACACGTACCACAAAACTGTGCTTGAATACAGTATTTGAGTAAATAATCTTTCCACTTCTGCAGGAGCGACACTGGTTTTCTGGAGAGTTATGTTGAGTCATGTTGGAGAATATTGACCACACTCACCAGAATGAAGTCTGTCTGATACGTCGACAGCATGAAAACAGAGATGTTGTGGTCGGCCAGTGGTGCGATGACTGATTTAGCGATTTTGGTGACTCCGATGGGCTGCGAACTGGAAGCGTTGCCGCCACCCGACACCACGTTCAGGGCCAACCATGTGGCATCGGCAACACTGATGTGCTCGGACTGAGGCAGCTCTGTGAACCAAAACAAACAGGAAGAGTCGGTCGTACACTCATGCTGTTCTAAAGTTAAATAATAATAAGATTTGAGACTAGTTTGTTAATTGTGGCAGTAACACAGGGCGGTCTGTTTAATGCAGTGATTTAAACTGCAGCCAGTTCATTAAACTATTTATACTGGTTGTTCTGGACGTCTGCACAGGCGATGATACATTTTTCCGACTCCAGAAAAGAAACTGTTGTTAAAGTCCGTGAGGAGCGTGAGTAATGACTGTTCCTTATTTTTTCACGTGTACTACTTCCTGTTTTGCCATCTTTTATGCAGATGCTCCTTGTTTAAAGAAATGTGAAGCAACTCTGATTCACTACCTGGAAATACACGACTATTCACAGCTTCGATCCTCCACTCGATCAGTGAAACAGCAGCAGCCCACGTAGTAGAGAAGCTTGTAGTCAAGACTGTCTTCCTCACCCTGTCTGACCACACATTCTGGATCTTTGTGTCCAACATTTCTCAGCATTTTAAAGTCAGTTCATTCAGAGACAGAAACTAAAGACACAGTTAAACTTCTGGACCCCCAAACCTGCCAGCAGGTTTCTAAAGCATGCAATCTTTAAATGAAATAATGGCAAAATGACACCATATATTAGAGCTAGAAAAATTCTTAGTGCAACTGAGAAGTCAGAAGTGACTCAGCTGTGACCAAAGAGCAAATGATTAAAAATTCAGGGACTTTTTCACTGAACTGCAGGCAGTGCTAAAATAGAGCAGATCAGAGAAAAGTATGGAAACAAATTAAAAGTATAAGTACTAAAATATTTATAATATGTAGAGCTACAATTTTCCCCAGTATTGGTAACACTGGACGATACTTGGAAAAATGTTGTAAATTCTATGTTCGTTGAATTTTTGTAAAACACAATCAAATTCAACTTTTGCTTTTTCTTTTTTCTCTTGTTTTATGGCAGTATAACTGTGTTATACTGCAGGAGTTTACATTACAGTGAGAAATGAGCCTACAGTGAGTAAAAATGTGACAGGAGGGTTAAAAATAAATAAATTCTACTAGGACATTTATCTTTTGTAGAATCATTTGCTTTAAATATAAAACTGTAAAACTTTTGAAAGAAGAAATAGCACCTTTATTTTATTATTTGTTTAATAAGTAATAAAATGTGCTTTTTCATAAATCAAATAGACTCAGGGGTTCTTGCTGCAGCTTTACCTGATCTGGTGGTTGGACCAGTAGCTTCTGGTGGCTAATGTTAGCTGGTCTTGCTGTATAACAGACATTAATGAGTCAGTTTACTGGGTTCATGACTCCTTGTCACACCAACTTTTACCATTTGTCATTAAACTGACACTTGTAGCTGCAACTGTTTAATGATGTCTGGAGGAATCACTGCAGAGACACCGCAGCTTAGAGTGCTTCACACCAAGAAGAGGAACAAAATAATGAATCCCACAGGTTAGAAACTATCAACACTATACTGATGAATGCAATTAGCTGAAAACGTTTTTTTTGTTGTTGTTTAGTGTAAATATGGCAATATTTAGAGTTCTGGGGGGTTGTTACTATTTGATTAGTCACTTAATCAAGGAAATAATGAGCTCAATAAACTATAAAGGAAACAGTTGTGAATTGCGCCACTGATACTGATTAAAACTCAACAAAATAGTAACATCTAAGAGTATTGTTGTCAGTGCGCCACAGGACTTTAATATCAACAACATTTTAGCTTAATTATTAGCCAAACTCCACTTCAATGTAGTGCAGTTAATTTACAACCTTTAAACGTCAAGGGACCAGCTGTTCTGCAGTAATCTGATCAGACTGGATCAAATTTTGAAAATAGGTTTTTCGAAAGAGAAAAAAAGGGATTCTACAATCAGATTACATTCATCCAGTCCTGGGTTTTGAGTTGGATCAAACCTTCCACACGTGTTGTTCAAAACGTCTTTTAAGGACGGAGACACCTGTGATTGAATAAAATCTGGATTATCCTGATCCCCGTTTGAAGTTCGGAGTCAGGTGGATTTTAGATACGAAAATGTAGTTAAACTTACTAACTGGTCAAATAATATTTACATCATGTAGTAGCTTTACATTTATTATTAAGAATGTATTACTTTGCACTTAATTTGATAAGATATTACTGTAAATAATGAAGTAGCTAGAGTAGACATTAGGCTATAATAAAAGAAAAAAATATTTTGTGCCTGTAAAATAATCCCCCAAACTAACATATTAAACTTTAATTGTATAATTGGCTGTATATCAATAAACCATAGGAGATGAGTGTCAACATATTTGTGAGTAATAATATGTATGTATGTGCATTTGTTGTGGGTCAGATGAGGTTTGACTGTTTAAAAGAAATTCAAAATGAAAGAGGATGTTTTTATTGTTTTTCTGTGCCATTTTCTCTCTTCAAACCAAAAAAATTGGATTGAATTTGGTGATTTTGAAAAGTTTCTATCTGGAACAGGCTGACCCAACCCAGTGTTGCTTTGAAAACTTCTTCAAAAATGAGTCTAAATAGCAAAACATGGGACTTTCTGATCCACATTAAACTTTTTGAATAACTGAGCCCCATAGATTAATTAGGTATTTAACAATATTAAGGTAAGACTCAAACTACATGTTACATTACATTACATGTTAGTTTACACAGGTTACTGAGAATTAATTGGATTTTGTAACAACAAAGTTTCTAATGTTTCCTTCAGTATTAAGGCTTAATTGAACCAAATCAACACGCATATGGATTTCAAGTATACTGGCCATGTTAGGGGTCAAGAAAAAATATATTTTCAGTCCTTTTGGGGAGTTTTCCAAGTGTTGTCTTGCATTGCTTTCCTGAGTTTTACACTGTAGTTTGGTTGGACATAAAACAGGCACTAACACACTCCGAGCCAGTCACCAGTAGAAAATACCTGCGGCAGTTATGCAACAAATAGCCTGTAGTCTCCAGGGTAACCGAGGAGGGTCACCCTGGAAAAGGATGTGTAATGACATGGATTCACTCACTCAGCCAACCACAAAACACGGCGAGCGGCAGCTTGGCCTCACATCTATAATAACAAAGTGTGCTCAAACATTGGCAGTAGAAGCTACGTAGTGCCAGACAGAATCAGAGATTACACAATGTGATCTTTTCCTGCCGCCCGATCTATGGTTGCCACAGTGACTTTGACAGAGGCCCACCTTTAAAGCCTTCCTCGTCAACGATAATGGTATAGTCCTCCGGAGTCTCCGTCAAACTGAAAAACTTGCATCTGGAAGGGAAACAGAGAAGAAAAGAAAAACACAGCACAGATCAAACAGTGGACGCAGTATGTGAGAAGCCTGAGAAAAGCTGTACAAAGCTGGACCACATAAGTCATGTCAGCCTGTGCTCCCTGAAGCATAAACATCAAATAGTTTAAAGAATTAAAGAGACAGATTCATGTGAGAAGTTGCAATGACGAGACATGCAGGAACCAAAGCTAAACTGTCTGTAAATGTCGTCTTTATCGTTTAATGTTGAATATGAGGCTCATAACCAAGTCATAAAAAAAAGCACAGTGCTGTTCTGCTTCCAATATAAACCTCTCCGACACAGAGAGGGCCAGACCTTGCTGTGAGAGGAATCTCATTGATCCAGAGATGTTACTAAATACACAAACTTCAGGTTAAGACCTAAAAATGAGCTGAGGTCTCTATCAAGACAAGAGATCAGATTTACCTTGATAATATTAAAGGTATGTATATTTTAGGCAGTGTAGCCATGCGGTAATGGACTGGTACAAAGTCGACTGTAGTTAATCAGATTCTAAACTGATTATTTTCTTGATTGATTGAGAATTAATATCGGTTGTTTGGTGAATAAAATGTACGTCAGTGTGTTTTCTAAAGCCCAAGATGACATCCTCAAATGTCTTGTTTTGTCCACAACCCAAAGATGCTCAGTTTACTGTGACAGAGGAGTAAAGAAACCAGAAATTATTCAAATTTAAGAAGCTAAAATCAGAGAATTTAGACGTTTTTTGTAAATAATTACTCAAACCAATTAATCAATCTTCAAAATAGTTGACAGCAAATCAATTACTTATAGCAGCTCTACTTGTCAGCCCTGCACAAACCATAACTAGGCATTTTGCAGTTATTTGCATCCTTTCAACTGACAACTGCAACTTGCAATAATCAGGCCAATAACTTGCAAATGCAGATTGCCAGTAGAGACAAATGTTAAATAGAAACAAGATAGTGGTTCATGCTTTGAATACAAAATAGTTTACCTCATTTCACTTGTTTGGAGTCTACATGTTTATGTGAAACTGTTTTTAAGATGATGATGTGTCATATCATAAAAAGAGAATGGAATCAGTGCAAACACTCATACTGGATTTTCACTCACGATAGATTTTGACTTGAAAACTGTCAAGTACAGAACGCTATTGTGGTCAAATTCATGTGCTTGTTTACCTAAATCATGATCACATACTTCCTGATTTTGGTCAAAACTTACCAACTGCCAATTTGCCAATTTGATGGACTTCATGTCATCAAAGTTCTTGTAAAGCATCCAGTGTTTAAACCACAAGACTGTACATAAGAAAGTGACATAACCCCCCAGTCTATAAAGTAAAGTCAAAGCAGAAGTGACTTAAACCTGCATCCATTCTACCAGCCAGCAGGGGACGACTCCATTTGCAAAAAGAGGTCAGATTGTGTAGAAATCTATGAGAAAGTGACTACTTTTCATTTGATTTATTACCACAATAAACATTTTCCTTATGAGTTTGTGGTCTCAATCGCTAGTTTCAAGTCTTTTTCGTGACCGTGTGGTATTCATTTAGTAAATTATGATCCCATTTAGGGTAAAATAGACAATAAAGCAGGGTATTTTTCATCGTGAGGCTACCTTGTGAGGACCAAATCAGTACTGTGAAAAAAAAAAAAAGCTGGACAAATTTCCCACCTGAGACTTTAAAACTGTAGTCCACAAATCAATGAGTGACATAATGGCGGCTACTTCCATATTTTATACTGATTCTGTGGTTTAAACTACACTTGACATTTGAGAGGTTTGGGCTAGTATTTGTTGAAAAATGAGATTTTTCAATGCAAGTATCATTTTCATTGAATCAAAACACAGGGTTCACATTTGTAGCAGTATTTAAAAAATGACATCCACAGCAGACTCACTAGTTTTCCTGAAACGATTTTGATAAGACCATGTTTTTCTGAAATATTGTATGTCTCAACTGTCATTAGTCAGATGTGACCATTTCTGTGCTGACTTTGAAATCCAACTTTCAAGATTCAGTACATTAAACCAACGGTTTTGTCAGAAGCTGAAGGATGTTGTAAAAAAAAAAAAAAAACAGCCTGAAATCAAGCCCAACAAACTCTCGCTACCACAAAGGAAATCAACGCACTAGAAAAACAACACGCACCACACTCCTGTAATAATCACATTCTTTACAGGCCAGCTACTGAATGCTCACACTTCATATTTGGCTGAAAGGTGTGAAGAACGACAGCAGAATAACAGAAAGTCTCTCAGCAATTCTCTGTATGGGAGCAACAGCATTTCCTCTTGGAATTAAATGAGCTGTCAAGTGTCACTTTGGCTTGCAGGGTGTTTTGCAGAGCTAGAACATTAAAATGATTTGCGGTGAAGCTTTTGTCTCGTGCCCGGGCTGATAACACTCCTCTAATCGCTGTCATGTCATTATGAGAACTGCTTAATGACTGTACTTTATTCTTTGACTCTGTTCCATCCAGACTGACAATGAAATGGAAATCGCTGCAGAGATTTCACTGTATTACTCCCCACTGCGGGGGAGATCACTGAATATTTAGCCTGCATTGCTCGCATTCTATGTGCATGCTAGGAATTTCACAGGGAGCCTTTAAATGAGTTTGTATTGTCAGGTGCTGCACTACAACACCACCCACAACCTTTGACTAAATCACAGCAAATGTGTTAAAAAAACCAACTCAGGGAACATATTAATATTATGTTGATTTTTTATCTGCGTAAACACAAAACAATCCCAAACCAATCAGTCTTACATGAATTCATTTGGTTTGAGAGTTGAAATTTTACAATTTATCTTTAAATCTTTAATATTCATATTTAACCCCCTGAACCCCCAAATCTTCTGGCAGGTTTGAAAGGCATGTTACCTTAAAAAATTGCGTCATTTATCAGAGCCAAAAACATGAACAATCCTCAGATTTCCACTTTGCCGATGGTTTTTGAACTGTCTATGATGTGCCTTTCAGCCAAATAAACTTATATTTTATGAAAATCACTTGATTCTGCATGTCTCATGTAAAATATGCCAAAAATAAATAGTTAGTAGGAACTAGATTCTGTAAAAAACAAAAAAATTCTGTTCTTGTTGTTACATTTGTGAAGCCATCACTGGCTCAGCGGTAACCAACAGTCACAAGCGAAAAAATCAGAGAGTTTCTGACAAAATGAGGCTTATTTGCAGGCTGCAGAAACAAATTTAAAGTGTTTCGGTTCTCCTTACTTCTAGCCATGGTTTTGCCATTTCCATTGAGTTGCAAGACTTTATATTGCAGTGACAAATGAGTTTGTAGAAAGTAAAAAGGTAGCGGGACCAAAAAAATAAAATAAAAAAATGCCCAGAAACTGCTTGTAGTTCAGAGAGCTAAGGCTGGTTATCAAACATCAACACTTCAAGAAGGATTTTCCCAGTGGGAACTTGGAATCAAATACCCAATCAGAATCTCATATATTTCCTAGGGTATATTGGGATTTTTTAAAAAACCTTTAAAACCCTGTGTTATCAAAAGCACATGCCAAAGGCTGCTCTTTAAAAGATGCATTAATTGATTTTTTTGGCCATTTGGGGGCCGAGGGCCGAGCTGGAAACACAACGCTGATATAAACACCTCCTAAAATTTCACTAACTTCTTTGCACATCCTGCAGACAACATTAATTTGGAGCCATACCCTTTATCCATTATACACTTCACTATGTTCACCAGCTGAGTGCTATCTTGGTCTGTGTATTTAGCAGGTAGTCTGCTGCTGCTGCTGGAAACAAGGTTGACGACGGGTCAGAAAAGCAAAAGAAGCAACTAAAATAAGCCAAAAAGCTGCACAATGGTTATTCGATATAAGTGGGACTGTGTACTTTTGTTATTTGAGCTACTGTTTCTGTAAAAATAAAGAGTAGGGCAGCTTAAACACTTGCGCACATGGCAGTTTAGCATCTAAAAGAGAGTCATACTAAACAGTTTTTATATTCTCCTAACTATGGTACTGAATAAAGTAGAGCATTCATATCAGTATTGTATTCATACCAGAATTGTGGCCTATAATAGTTTTCCAATGATACACAGCCGTATTTATATGTAAGGATATATCTGCAGCAGACAAACATGAAATTTATTTTTAAAGACAACCACAGGGCATACATTTACCTCAGCAGGCTTAACTGTGAGGTATGTTACGTAATCCCCTCATGTCACGTTTGAATTGTTTTTCTTTGATGGAACTGCTCAGAGCATAGTTAGACTTTTTTCACAATTGCTAGATTTTCAGCTTTGGGTAGGCTGGGAGGTTTTAATTATTTCTTTAATCTTGTTTGTCTTTAAAATGAAAAACAAAAAAAAAAACTAATTAATTTTATGAATGCATGCATAAAAAGACAAGGAACATTTGATGAGACACTTGATGTAAAAACATCAGAACAAAAATAGATTCAAATTTTTTTTTTTTTTTAAAGCAAGCATGCATGCATCAGTGGAGAAAGGAGGCACAATACAGGTCTGCGTTAGTGATGAAAGAGCGCTGTTGTACGGGCCTATCAAAGGCTGAGGTGTGCCAAGGCTGTTGCTTCCAACAACATTAGCTGGAGGATGGGAGAGCAGACAGAAGAGTCAGGTCGAAGGAACTACACGGAAAATAAGAAAAATAGCTAGAAGAAGAGACAAGCTGCACAACCGGTGTCATCTAATGGACACTCATGTCCTGCAGTCAAACAATATGAACTTATGTAATCTTTGATGGACGGCTTCCATCACCGCCCAAACGTCCAGCCTACACAAGGTGCCCCACTTTAGGATTTGCCCCAAACTCCAAATCGTGTGTCCAAGTCTACCTGGGAAGACATGAATCCTTCGAGGTATCACAGAACTCTTTGGAAACTTCTCTGTCGCTGCTTTTCCAGAGAACATCCTACTTACAGTGACAAAAATTGAAACTGAACAGATGATCATGATCATATTGCTCAGTTGGCCTGATCACCTCCGTGGGGGGGATTTACAACAAAGACACAAAGCGAAAGCTGCAGCAAAATGCAAGTTCTTAACAAGCGCCAGTTTCATCCAGAAATGTAAAAAGTGTAGCCGTGTTCATAATGCATAATGACACCCACAGACGGGACACAAATCGTAAAGATAACAAACATGCACGCTGGAGATGTTGAAGCAGTCTGAGACCAGTTTGTTTCATTTTAAGTGGATGAAAATGTGACGCCTCCTGCTGTGAAAGAACCAGCTGAACAGCGTTTAACATAAGCAATCACTGCTCTTTTGTTGCAGATTCAACTGTTACAGACCTTACAGACCAAATGGAAATGTCAGTGTGTGATGAACTGCTACTAACAGCCAGTGTTATTTTAATCTCCGTTTAACATTTTGTATAAAATATTATGGCTCTTTTATATAGCCTTTGTGTTGCTTTTTTAAAAATCAAACTGCCATCTGCAAAATACAGAGACTTTTGATTTGTTTAGCTGTTGCTTTGATTAGTATGAAAGCAGCAGTAACATGCCACGACAAAAAATGTGGGTTTAACCCTCTGAACCCAAAAACCTGCCAGTAGATTGAAAAGGCATGTTCAGGTTTTTTTAATCACCAATATTCCACCACATATCAGAGGCAAAAACTGCAAAAATGTAAAGAATGATTGGATTTTCAACTTTCCAATAGTCTGTTACCATTACGTTACAATCCACTACTCATCTGTGACATGCTGCTCAGTTAGGGAAAGTATCTAATTGTGATATATCATTAAAATCCCATTATTCTATATCATTTATAAAATTGTAAAAAAATTGTGATTTGTAGTAAACAGATTCTGTAGAAAACAAACAATTGTACGCTTCTTGACAGAACTGTGAAGTCATGAGTGACTGAACTGTGAGTAACAATGGCATGACAAAAATTCTGGGACTTTTCAGCTGAGCAGCAAACTGTTTACCAAACGCAAATGGAAAAAAAAAATGCACGTAGTAAAGTATGTACAGTGTGACAGCCACCATTTCAATGGTAACACTAAATTCAGCCTTTTTCAGACATTAAAATGCAGCTAAAGCAGATATTATGCTAAAAGCTCAAAACGACCAGATGATTATATGAGACAGATGATACACTGATCACTGCAGTACTAAGTGTCTATATGTAGTTAAACATCCAACCAAGAGGAGCTGAAAGTCATGAGATTAGGTTGTTGAGTTGAAGACCAGAAACTATTTGATGACTTGATCAGCTGATTAGATTAGCAGGAAAAACTAGTCGGCCATTCTTGTATGTTTACATTTTTTCTAGCAAACATTTTCTGCTTCCAGCTTCCAGTGTCTTCCTCTTTTTTTTTAATATTATGAATTAAATGTCTTTTGGTTGGACTGGTGATTGAAAAAAATGTCTTTCTTTCTTTCTTTTATTTTTAAAGTTAGACAGCAAATATTCTATTAGTTTTCTCTGTCCATGTATTTTTATTGCAGCTAATTTTCTAGAATCACTGGTTTGAATAAAACTGTTTTTGCTATTTAAAACTAATATTTTTTTTTATTATTATTATTTGACAAACTGCTGGTTGATGAAATCTTTTTTTTTTTTTATTAATTGCAACTAATGTCTACATGTCTATTCCTGCATGAGCAAAATACTTGTGTAGTTTTGTATTATGATGTTAATGTTTTTGATAAGTTTCATTCTACCAATTTTCTATTTTTATTACTGCTTATTTTCCAGAATCCTTGGTTTAGGTATAAACCACTATATATATATATATATATATATACTGATCGTAACTAACGTCTGTGTGAAATTAGGCTAGTTTTGTGTATGAACTGTTGTACAAGCGAAATATTTGTGTGTGTGACTTTGCATTAGGATGTTGTTGTGTTGCATCAAAGACAGGTTACCCTGTGGAACGATAAAGCGTACATCCATCTAGATTAGACATATGAATAATCTGAAGATTAAGCAATAATGCAGCAGCAAGTGGTTGCAAGGCTACTTGAGTTAATTATAATTGCATGAAGTAATCAGTAATCTGAAAGCTCTGTGTTTTATCAGTAACTTCTCCTCAGCACAAAGGCACCGTTGATTACCAGCTTTCTGCCACACTTGGACTGACTTTGCCTGTTGTAAAATCGCCAGGGCAGCCATAGTGCGAAATAATTTGCTTGTGCTGATTGTAATAGACTATAAACAGACACACACACACAAACAGAGCAGTGGCAAGTGTTTGCAGGCCTGTTGTCATGTCACTGCCTGGCTATTTAAATTGAAAGTTTTCTGAGGCTGACTGGCAGTTATTACCCACTTTACTGGACACAATCCAGCGTGTGGACTGTAAATGTCGTCTGCTGCTGGTTCAAGTTTGTCTGATATGGTCATAGATGTAAAACACACACACACACACACACACACACACACACTCACACACACACCCCTGCTGGCGTCGACCCAGCTACAGATGGCACAAAGCTACAAAATGACACTACAGAACAAGGATAGGCCTGGAAACTGGTGGCTGCTCTCAAAATAAACACGCACAGTGGCAAAAAATAAATGCATTAACACAACACCAACAAGCAGGAACAGAAAACACACAAGTACGTGCAGCCTCCAGGACTAGTTTGCTATAATGTTAACAGCAGCAGCAACAGCAGCAGCAGCAGCAGCAGCAGCGCCTTTACAGTAAACAGCACACCGGAGCAGGTGAAAAACACGAGTCACTGTGTGCTTCTAATCAACCACGACGTCCACGAAGTTACGTTACCTTGTTTTGGAGGCCAAGAAGGCGAGTTTTATTAATCCGTGAGTGCAAATCTGGATCCCCTCTTTCTCTATACTCGCCACTTTCAAGCTGTGCTCTAAAATGTGAAGCTCCATCTTTTACGTCTTCTCATTTGAGGAGCGACTAAAAAAATGTTAAAAATTACAAACAAACAAACAAAAAAAAACTAAACACTTTCAAACGGGATGCATAAATAAATAAATACACGCACACGGGCAGGCTAAGGCGTATTAAACAGAGAAAGAAATGGGGAGGCAGGGTGGAATAAAGAAAGCAAAGAGGTAAAAACGGAGCTGCCGTCAAACCTGCGCACAACCCGAGCACGGTGCTGAGAGCAGATTTTCAGAATAAAAGCCCCCTTCCCAGCTACGTGCAAAGAAATTGCTGCATTTGTATTTCCTTTTCTACGCCCCTATACCAAGTCCAATTGTTAAAGGACCAATTCAGCTCATTTAATGCAGTTTTCCACTTGCCACTTTAGCCCCTACATTGTGCCTGAAATGTTATTAATGCATCAAAATGACATTATTTCTTTCATTAAGGTTATATTTTAGAATAACTGCCAAAGAGATAGTCCCTTTATTTTGTATACAATGTAAATCATTTTAATTAAACAGGGATATTAGACGTACCAAACACACACACACAGTATTGCCCCTAAATGTCATTGCTAATTAACAAATACATAACAAACTGCAACCATTTTTTGATTACAAGAAATGTTTAAGTTATCACTGCAGACATAAAGTTGTGCATATTTGCGTGTTATGACTGTTTGATCAAGATAAAATTAGTTGTAAACAAATATAATCTTGACAATACAGCGAATAGCTTTTGACAAATAATTACATTTTGGCAGAATTGTGTGGCTCTTATGTTATATCAGTCATTTCAGAAAAAAAAACTGCTAGCAGTGAATCCTGTAGGTGTGTTTATTTGCTTTCTGCCTGTGGGTTGGCTTCAGTTAGCATATTAGCATACGTTCAATTAGCAGAGGTAACCATTATTTTCTCAAAAGATAATTGGTCAGCTATGTTTGAAATATCATGAAAGCCTTTAAAATTGCTTAGCACTGCTCTGGTGATATTTTGAGCCTCTTCAGAAACTCAACTGACCACATTTGTAAGATAAGTATGACTCTCCAGCGTCCAGGTAGCTAGCTAGCTATATTAGTCCTGCTGATTGCCTCACAATTGTTAAGCGCCAAGAAATAGTGTGGCTAATAATAACTCGGTAAAATGATTAATTTTACTTCATGCTTTTGTTTTTGCACAGAGTAAATTAACAAGACTTCATTTTAGAGATGCTAGCAAATAATTTTTGTTGCCAGTTAACCAAGACAGTTTGCTTGTTATCGGTGAACCAATCCAGTGTTTACAGACTTTGTGCTATGCTAAGCCAAGCGAGCTTTATTTCCCTCACATGCCCATTTCAGCTAAGTCTGCTCTTTGAAAACAGTGTTTTGAAGATATTTCTTGAATCTGCAAGAACTCTTCTGGCTATTTATTAATTGTCTGAAAGCAAGTAAAGGAGCAACATTTCAGAAAATGGATTAGATAATTATTAGTAGTAACTATTTAGTTTTTTTTTTCTTTTTAGCAAAAATGGCAAACATCAACTATATTCAGCGTCTCCACTATGAGAATAGGCCTTTGTTGTACTGTCTCTATTTTAGTAAACTGTGTGTGTTTGAAGACTCGACCTAAGAAGTATCCAACACATTTTTGAGTTTTGGGTAATAATGGAACATCCATTACACAATATATATAACCTTTAATGATTTGTGCTTATTTGTATCATTACAGGCCTGTGTACTGGTAAATGGAATGATATGCTATTTCATAGGTCTGCAGTTTCCTAAAACTTCTCACAGGAGGTATAGTCAAGCACTAATTATAAGGTAAATAGAGAGTTTTCTAAGTATCAAAAGTGATTTTGCTTGAGCTGCTGCACTTATACAAAATCTGCAGAAAATATAGTCTAACAGCTTAGCAAGCATGTCAAAACTAAACCATTAACAAAATTCTGGTGATGGCCTTGCTGAGGTTAATACAACCATGTCTGGGGTGCATAAACAGAACAAAAGTTCCCTTATTGATTTGAATGGAAATGTGTTTACTGTGGTTTACATTGGTGTACCTTTATTGTGAAGGCTAGCTGTGGGAGCGGAAGTGAGTGTGTGAGCAGCTCACAGCAGCTTGTCTAACCTGTTAAATAGGAGAGCAAAGGACCGCTGGTCCCCATGTTTGCTCTCCGACTGGAATAGTTAGCAGCTGGTCGGAGTGAAACAAACAACTTGCCATTCAAACGAAGGGGGCGGGTCTGTAGAGGAGCGGGGCATCATGGGAAATGCAGTTTGTCAGTTCTGCAGTGACGTGTGCTGCACATTTAGTTTATTAATAAACAAAGATAATAAGTGTAGGAATAGATATCTGCATCGAGTGAATGATTCTTTTCCATTCAGGTGCCCCAGTACGATATACTAGTGATCCAGTATGCCCAGTTGCATGACCCTGCAAATGAGATACCTAAAATGGAATTCAGTCATTATTATGTATGTTTCATTAAACCTCCATAATGTTGCATGTTAGGATGTCTGTGGCTTTTTGCAGCCTTTTGTTGTACTTACAACAACCTTTAGGGAACCACAAAAACAAAGAAAAGACTCCACTACTTCCCAGTGGTGTAAATTTGTGCATTTTAGCAGCAGAGGTGACAAGCCCAACACTATCTAGAGTAGACAGAATATAATATGTTTCCTTATTGTCATTGCACAATGAATCTGAGCAGCCTTCTTTTCAGGGCATTCACACAATCAGACAAAACAAGTACAGGAAGCAATGTACAAATGTAAAATACAGGAAATACAATATATATACGTGTAACTTATGAAAACAGTGATAAAGGTTATTTTTATAAGGACAGCTCATTTGATGTATTAAGAACACTATAAAAACTGTAGTTTAACTGATGTTGCACATTGCTGCACATTTATGAAAATGTAATGGCTTACAGTCGAGCAAAAGTGTACATACATTTACATACAAGCTGCAGGAAATAAACAAATGTACAGATTCACTATATAAAGAGAAGGTGCTGCATAAAAATAGAAGGTGCAAAGAATGTAGAGCATTTCCAGATTCTGTAAATTTAACAATGAGGAAGCTGCTAATAAATTGCTGCAGGTCCAGACAGTGTTTGGCAGAGTTTAGTTCTTTATTTGTCGGTAAAGGCTGTTTTTGAGTCTATTTAAGTTTAAGTCTATTTAGGTGAAATCCAATTTTGGAAATGACATATAAAATAAAACATAAAATGCGCTAAAATGTTTATATATTTCATACTATACCTTGCATATGTGACATTTTAAAACAAGTTGTGTGAATATTTTTGTAAATATGTACACACAGATATACAAAAAAAAAAGTGAGAACATGACGGAAACTATAGTTGCTTTGATAATTTTACTACCACTCCTAATATAAGGAGTGATAAACAGGCGTAAATATGAAACAATTGTAAGGTAGGCCTCCATAAAGTGTAGTTTATATAGAATAAATCGATTCTGATACACACATACACACACTATACAACACCAATGCATAGAAATAAGAAAAAGACACCATGTTACATAAGCAATAAACACAGAGTATTGTTAAAAATATGATTAGTAGGACTTGTGCAGTACTACAGATTATAATATAATAACTGAACATACAGAATATGTACAATGCTATGTAATGGTTGTTCCAGTGTTTATAATCACATATGTTATTTTATATCTATAATCTGCCTTTCTGTTCTTGAGGTATACCAGTGGTCAACATACTCTGAGGAACACTGATGCTACACATAAAGAGGCGGCCATGTTTGCACTGAGCTGCAGTTTACACACTTATGTCCAATTAGCAATTATCACCAGGTGAGTGGCGAAGAAAACAACTGTTTGCTTCCACATCACAAGTGAATCAGCACAGACGTTGCTGTTTGTCTGTGCACCTTTTGAGTAGTGATGTCGGGGAAGAAGCTGCATGTTTTTCAAAGTTTAATTCACAGTAATTGGCCTCCTGTTGCGTCTCCAGTGTTGGAGCTGGTCTGCGTGAATGATGACCCCTTGCTGTGAGGCCGCAGAGGAAATGCAAGTATTTACAGCTTGGCAGGATGCAATTAAATTTACTACACTGAGCTAGTGGGAAAACAACAACCTTTAAAATATCTCCACCTACATCCTCAACAAGTTCATCTACAGTGACCTCGGTTGTTCGTAATTACTGAACAGCTTGTCTGCTTTACTGGCACTGATACGTCTTTGATCCACACTTTAGCTCCAACCACCAACTAGATGACAGCAGGGAACTGCTCAAGACCTCTTTTAGCCTTTAAATCCTCATGTTCATGTTGCCTCATTTGTCTTATGGTGATTTGATGAATTGCTAAGTTGAGAGTTTGCACCACTTAAGTACAATAATGCAGCTCCTGTATTATTAGTCCTCTTTCATGAGCCCTGTGTCTAAAACAAGCATTAAAAGCTTTATTAATTCAGTATATATTCCTAAATAAATCCCTGTTTAATCAAATAACCTGATAGGAACTGATGCAACGACAAAGTACATACACTTAATACAGAAAGTTGAAGGTTGCACAATCAGTCAGGACCTAATGGATATTTTTGTAAATTTTTGGGAGCAAAATAAGTCAAATGAGGAATGCACTGTACTGTAAAAATAAAATAAAAATAAAATAAATAAAATAAAAAAATGAAATTTTCCTTTTAATTTACAGTTTCTGTCAATCTTTATTTATATAAATATTATTTATATTTTTTTTACAGAATATATGAAAATATCACTTAAATAAAAAAAGCATTAATTTGCACATTAATTGTAAAACAATGAGAAAAACATGTAATTGTGAAAAATCATTAAATTTTTTTTCAAAAGAATTTTAAAAAAATCTAAATATATTTACAAATTTATCTTAGCTTTAGTTGACACTGTAACATTTAAGCTTAATACTGTAAATGTATTGGTTTAATGAGATACAATTATTGACAATAACCATATAAAAAAAAGCATTGGTGCTTTAATTTTCCAAATATTTGTTTGGAATATGAGAAATATCTTGTATTATTACAGAACTTTTTACAACAAAACTGCAGAAATTTTATGTGTTCATCAGTGTATTATATCTATAAGCGCTAGCATTCCTTGAAAATACATCATTTTTAGCATGATGCATATATGTCATCACTGTATCTATTTATTATATATATTAATATTGCACAAATCATTTTTAAAGGCAAAA